CAAGTTTTATGTGCAACAGTTTGCCTTGGGATTTTAATACATGCTTTACTCAAGATTATACGAAGATTTTCTCTGTTGTTATGGTTTTCAACAGTAAGAGTTAACAATTGGTGTAAATAATATTGTTTTCTTGCACACTTTTTTGCAGGGTTTAAACAAATTATGATATTTTGTATTCGTATACGAAAGTACATACAACAGAGTTAGATGGAGAAGTTTTGCAATGTTCCGAAATATACTTAAAGCCTACTTATAAAAAAAAAGACGTAATGTCAAATCATAACAAGCCACTCTCATAATATATCTTGAACTTCATTTTTCGAACTTCAAGATATTCGAATCTTTTGAACGTTTTTAGTTTTAATTATCTATTTAATTATCTAACCACAGTTTCAACCTCTACACAGTTTTGAATTAGTTTTGTTATGCCATATTTTGTACTGTTATTTTATGAAAGCAACTTGAACCCAAAGCACGTCAATTTACAGGTATATGATGAATGGAATAAACTAATACAGGGTTTTTTTAACGCAACCAAAGTTAACGAAAAAAACAAGCTTAAATGTTGTATCTATGTTTTCTTTACTTTGTTGATTGCCGATCAGCTGATATGCAGTGGTGCATTGTTATGTTATCTATGAGGTTTATAGTGTTATTGTCAATATTTATTGTAAATGAGACTCATCATTGTGTTTTTCGCAAGCTCGAATGGAAATTGTGTTCTAGGTCTACGACTTTTTTTCTTCTACAAATCTGGGTTCTTAAATCTTTGACAAGTCTAGAAGTAGTAGATTTATTAGGGGCTGGAATCACAAAGGGTACACAATTTCAAACCTTTCTTAGTATGAATCCAGTGACATATTTTTAACGTATTCTTCTATAATACATGTGCTCTTTTAAGCTTGCAAAAACACCATGTTCAGGTTTGTTTACAATAAATTGACAATAACACTAAGGCGAATAATAAGCCAGAAGTTCTACTACATGCGAAGTAAGACACGTTGGATAACTATGCAACAATGCACATCAGCTGGTCTGCAACTGCAATGAAGTTAATAAACCCGGTATACCAACATATGATAAGATCGTTTTTTCGTCAACCAGTGTCTGAAAGTACTTGTAATTTTGGTTGCGTTTAGCGTTTGGAAAACACCCTGTAGTAAATACTTGTATGTTTTTCACAATTATACACAACTAAAATCATGTATATTCAATGCCAAGTTATTTCATTGTACACGATTGGTAACGCGTTGTGGTTGCGTCATCGGGAGGTTATGATTGCTCAGATAGGATAGGTTAGGTCGGAATCCCGCCAATAACTTCCCGCCAATCCCGCTGCTGTTGTGCCTAGACCAGTGGCTGACTATAGCGAAAGTGATCACGACCCTTTCTCCGATCATTGCTAGGCATACTATTATCTGGTAAAATCTACATTCCTAGTATTATACAACAGGGTTCACACCTTACAGCATCCTCCGTTTCTTCCGGTCTCCGCTGAGGTTGTGACTATAGTCTAGTATGAAGATGTTTTTTCAGAATTCATTGTGGTTTTATAAATTTATATTTAGTATATCAAATCAATCGTGTTTTGTCTGATTTTATCTGCATTATGATGTTTTAGAAACTGCTCTATCCCTGGGTCGGTTTCTGTCTTATTCCAATTTAAAAATCCCATTTCACCTAAGCTTTAGCAGGTAAATACTGGTTACAGAAAAATACCTATGGAAAATATCTATGACAGAAAAATACAATGTTAACATTTGTTTTCAAATACCTTGTTAAAAATAGCAATATGATATAGTATGCAATGAAGTTATTATTACTATCATCTGAAGACGCCAGTGACTATGGAAACTATTATATAAATGATTTTTACAGTGATATCTGTTTATATTTTTGGCCATATTCCATTGCAAAGCACGGGTAAAACCTCTAGGTACCTTATAGCTTTTAGTCCAATTCATACTACCTGCGTTATAATTACTATTATTAGATTGTTAAAATATTTAACTAAGCTAAAATTTATTTTTTTATCGCCAATTTTATGTTAGCTACATATATTACTAAACTCTTTTTTTAAGATTTATAACAACGATTTAATAACGTCTTCAAATACGATGTGTGGAAAGCCATTAGGCTTCACTAACTTAAGATACTTAAATATCTCCATTGTTAATCAAATATTGAATACTTTTCCACCTAAAATAAATAAACAATGTGATTAAACGCTGAGCTATACTAAGTAAAGTGAATTATATAGATCGTGCTTTTTCAGACATTGTGTTTGTAAATTGCTTTAATAAAGGTGTAGATAGTTGTAGGACATTATATTGTGTATTGATATTGCACTTTTCTTATGTTGCAAATAAAACTAAATGATACTTAACTGGAAACATTTGCTGATTTGACACTAAGTCTGACGAGTGAAAGGTAGGCTATATTTTTCTTTTCTCGTTCTCTAAAATTAAATCGTATTTGCGTGGTTCATGAAGAGGGTATTCTATCTCTAGCTTTCATTATGAAGTTCTTTCATATAACATTAAACCTGGTGAATCAATAGTAGTCAATTTACATTTGATAAAGTGTTTTTATTGATTAAATAATTAACTCATAACATAACAACAGATTAAGTGCTGTGTATATATTTGGTGGTATTTTGCATTGTTTTTTTGTAGATAAAACGAGTAAGCAATAACTTTACTTGTCTATAGACAAACTTGATAATATTTGAACGCAGCTTGTTCAAAGGGAACTATCACTTCAAATTGCACTTCACCTTCAAATATAACTTCATTGATTTACAGTATTAGTAGATCTATAGGTAAGCCTAATGTCCACTATATATATGTAAACAATCAAATCATAATGTCAGATTGAAGAAAAACAAATGAGTTAAAAGGAAAATATTACAGAAACATGCATTAACTTCCTGTGAAACAAATAGGGTAAACTTCTTGAATGTTCACTGTACAACTTCATAAATATGGATTCTGAGATAACATGGGTTTTTAGAAAAGACAAAATATATTAGTTTCAATAAAAGCAATATAACAGATTATCTTAAAGAAAACGAATATACATGGGGTAAACGAATGTACGTAGGCTTAAGCCCTGTCAGTGATCTAACGAACTAATTGAATATTCGATCAATTAAAAAACTGATATCAAATATCTTTTAAAACTATTACTTCTAACTTGATGATTTATATATGCTACCATAAATTATATTGCATGCTTATAATCAAAATGTTTCCCTCGCACAAATTAGGATGAAGTGAAATCATGAGACAATGCGGAGCTACAAGTGATTACAAAAGGAAACACAACTCTTCACTGATAGAAAAACGTTTGCCCGATTTCCAAACCTGTCTTAGGAGAAAGTGGGGCTGAGCTAAAGGTTAAATTTATTGTGTTTTTTATCAAACACAGTGAAACCACCTGTTTCAGTTCATGGAAGGCGAAATACGTAATTACTTGGTAATTATGGTCCAAACCAGATAACAGAGAACAACAGTTTTACATTTCATATGAGAAAGTGATCTATGAGCAGCACTTTCTTATTTTTCTAAATTTTTCTCGAGTAGTTAAATATTGGTATTTGTCTCCAATCGATCGTTTAAATAACTAACTATAAGTACCATTGATAGATACCTAGTTAGTTAGACGAAATATTTATTCAGTTTTAAGTTTTGTTTGATAACTTCTTTTAAAAATGTGTTAATGATATTATGCGTTATACGGGACTTATGCGTTAATTATGCGGAATTATGCGTTATATGGGAAATTCGTTGAAACTATAGTGTTGTAATACTAAGACTGATAAGAAGACACAACATTGCATATTAAACATTTTGTTGTAATGAGAATTGATACATTTGGGGTTTGTATTTATTTTATAATTTATATGTGTTTTATAGAAGGTTGATTCAATGATTCGAATAACCTAATAATATTTGGAGTTTTATCTGTACAGTAATATATTTTTGTTTAGGGTATTAGAATCCGTTTATTTTTCGTATCTGACCCTGACATCACAAAATCAATCGTCTCACGTTAAGGACTTTCTGTAAAATGTCATCCTTAGTAGTTTACATGAGTCTTCCTTAAGTTCTTTCTAAAGGCAAAACGCCTGGCTGTGAATTAGACTACGTGGTAGACGCAGAAAATATCTATTGCTATTCGGACTTCGAGAACAGGCATGATAACTTGTAATGTTGTATAATGTGTATTGTTACTATGTCATTGCTAAGCTATACTCCGATTATTTTGACAAATAATTAGTGTTTGAGTAAACTGTTTACATGTTACGTTGTAATTGATTCTGTAAACAAAACAGTAATTAGAATATTTTCAAACGCCTTCAGTAGAATAGGAGCCTAATGTTTTTGTAGACTTTAAATGAAGTATCGAGTTAAATTTTTCTGTCTATATAATAATTTAGAAAAAAACCCGCTAACAATGTTAAAAAAACAATAACATGCCTTTGGGCATACCTCGATTAAGCTTGAATACATTTTTCAACTATTAAAGCGTTTCTTCTAAAAAAGTAAATTAGGCTATATATAGAAAATATAAAAAATATAAGGCTAACGAAAGCTTGCGAGTACTGTAAACATGTCCATTTAATTGTAATACTACTTATTTAGCGAATAAAAAGGTTAAAATCGTAAACATATTAAACAATAATATTCATATTTGTAAATTTATAAGTTGACTGTATTATATCTGTTTACAGACCTGCATACTCAAATCTGTAACCAGTATCGTTAAACATTTGAAAATGTTTAACAAGTAAATTATGTTAAAACCTAGATTTTATGCAAATAGCTTAAAAAGTAAGTAAAAAGATATTAGAATAGATTTTGAAAAAGGTGCTTATAAAATAATTTAAAACAACTTCAATGTACTATTCGCAAAATATAAATAGATAAGGATGTGAATAATTTTCTATAATATTGAATTACTGTACTAGAAATATTATTTAAAATAATTATATTTACCTGGTGAATGAACAGAAATGTTTTAACACAACGAACTACTTAGAATAAAATAAATACTTTCTACTGATACATTAGATATAAGTTAGGTATAATAAGAGACTCACGAACTCTACTGGCGAAGTCGAAATGACAGGCGTGCGACGACGAAGGCACTGACAATGAAGTGATAGTGAGGAGAGAAGGAGTAGAGTATCCCTACCATAGCTCTCAGGCACTTCATTCATACTCTCCCTTCCCTGACCACAGTGGCACAGTGATAAGATAAGGTGACCGCACCCGCAGGTGACGCCAGCGAGAACAGAAACACCTGAATCTGTGGACTTGGCCACTACAGTGATAAGGTGCTAATCGATATGGCGACATTCATCTAACTAGGCAATTATACAGACTTGTTACTCATATAAGGTGACCATGATGTTTCCAAGGTATGCACCTAAACTGCAAATATAGAGCTACATAAAATAGGAACAAGGTAACAGTAGTGTGGCGCAGATTTTTTATAGTAATCATATGGAATTGTTAACAGATTTAAAATAACAACAATATATAAGGTGATAAAACCACCGAAGATGGCCTCTACTCACAGATAAGATACGGGAGATAGTGTGGCCACATTGACACCACTTTTCCCACCTGTACAATAACGATATAAAATAATTACTAAAGTGATAAGATACGAGGATATAAGGTGGTCACATTGACACCACTGTGCCTACCTGAACGTTAACGATATAAATTTGTTATTAAATAGATACGATACGAAGGGATAAGGTGGCCACGTTGACACCGACCTGCCCACCTGAAAAATAATGACAAGAAATTGTTATCAAAAAGATAAGATACGAGGCGATAAGGTAGCCACATTGACACCGATCTGCCCACCTGAATAATGACGATTCAAATTGTTACTAAAGTGATGAGAAATGAGGAGATAAGATGTAGTTTCCTCACACATAAAACGATAATTTTTATTACACAATATAAGGTTTTATATTCTACCATAATACATAAGTTCTAATTGAATTTCGAGTGATCAAGGGTCGCCTTAGTCAGATTTTGGTTGAGTGGGACAAAAAATCGTGGATAGAAGAGGGTGGTTTTGAACTATATACGCTATGAATAAATTCTCATATATTCATCGTAAATAAAAGTCTGCTCAGTATAATGGATAAAATAGCTTTAACCATGATCCGATACTCTTGTAGATGTGGGAAAGAATTACTCATGATTCTGATAGTATGTTTAGCTAGGATAGTTTTGATTGATGGTTTAATGTTGTTCTTAAAAAACAACGATATACAATACTACATCATTGTAGTAGGCTGTACATACATTTTGTAGGCCGCCTTTACTAATTTATATTAAAAAGACCAAAACTTATATTATATTATTTATTTATTTATTTATTTTGTGATGTATTCATTATGACATTTACGATACAAATAATTATTTATTCATTGTTATCCTATTTTAAAAGGATTATTTTTTAAAGAAGTATGTACTATATGAAATAAAATGTTATCTAGTTCTGTATTATGTATGAGGAATAATTTCTAGATAAGGGAAGGATTTTTTGTTTTAGTACAGTAAACACAATGTAAAAATGTATTCTTATTTTCTATAAAATTAATTTCTTTGTTAGTATGTTTTATAATGCGAGTAAAATACGCTTGCGATTAAGATACCATCAACTTCCTAAACACATAAACAACATTGGGGAGATCACCGAGAGCTGCGTCAAATAATCTTTGAGGTGCTTAAAAGTCCCAGAATCCATCTTTACTTTTTCCATAAACAACTCAAGAGATTCTGATTACAATTTAGTATGTTACGTTCCTTATAATTAGAAACAAAAGTATACAACCCTAAATGCAGTTATAATACGAGTGAAAAGTTATTGCAACTTTTTGATTCCCCCATAAAATATCATAGATACTCAAGGGTTGTTAACAAGCTAATGGGACAAATCATGTGTTAGGTTGATGATACTGCTTGTTGGCTTTCCAATGCATTTTCGAAAGCCAATTTAAAAAAATACTGGGTGTTTATAAATGAATATCAGGATTTTAACGCTTTACAACCTTTATACTATTAAACTTACCGCTATAAATGACAAATCGGATGAAAAAGCAACTCAAAGAGTTTATGCCTTCCAACGACACATTATTTACACATTTATTTATTAACAAAACTGATCTAGTAGAACTGTATATTTAACTGTAAAAAGTTAAACAACCGATATTCATCCACCCCGATATTCATTTAGCCTATTACACCACGATATTTAAAAACTTAAAAAACCACAATATTCATTCATAATCACCCGGTATATTTAAAAATATTTCTATTAAGCTCTTAAGTTTAAACATTGACATAGTATGCCCTGCAAGTTGACTTTTCTTTCTACTTATAATGTATGACTTTCACATTAATCCAACGTTATTGTAATCTAGGCAAAAAAATATTTTCCATCTTTTTGTATAACTTTTTAGCTGGTTTACCATATAAGTAAGGGTCTTATGGTAAGACCTGATTTTTAATGTTCCAGAGGCCAAAAAACCCATACGTTTTAATTTATGAATGAATATAAATTTAGTTGTGGCTTTTGTACAAGCATTTATGTTTTCGTAGGAGTAAACCATCGTAGCAATAAGCATGGTAGGACTATGGGAACAAGGTTTTATGGGGTAGAAATTGGGGTTTCCCATTCCCCCCCTCAAAACATAAAATTACACAATTTTTATCCAAACCATTTTGTAAAGCTTAAAAACAAATAGTTAAGCAAACAACAAATAGCAAACGACAAATAGTTAGTTAGTTAGTTAACAAATAGTTAGTTAGGTTAGTTAGTATATTGGAGAGTTGGTGTGGACCAATGGTCGAAGGGAAATAAAAAAAACTATAAATTTAAAGTTAATATGTTATTCTTATGGAGATTAAGTAACATATTGTAGTTCGGTTCATATTTTTCGGTTATAAACAAGCAAACTACGGCAGTTTATTTATCCTCCATAAGAATAACGTGAAAATTAATTTAAACTTTTTTTGGAATTTTCACCGTAATCGTTAGGTAACAAAACGCTTCAATGTATTATAAATAATTTGTTTTTATGCTCTACAAACTATTTTGGAATAAAATAGCAAAAGTTTATGTGTTGCGGGTAAAAATAGGAAAACCAAAATTTTCTTCATAAACCCCCCACCCCAAGTCGATCATGCTGGTTCGCGAACTCGTTCGAATGAACATAGGTTTACACGCGTTTGTACCAAATGTCATCAAAATTAAATAGGTCCCGGTTCTAGGTCTTGCCATGGGGTAGGCATTAATTGCGCCAACTGACCTGAGTCAGGTATTCCTGTCGGTAGGTATAGTTGTGTAGGTGTAGGTTTTCGGGTATTCCTGAATTGAGCTAACTACTCCAGGGAGCCTTCCAATACGTTCCTTAACTGCATCAAGTGGCGGCCCACTTTTACCGGTATGATTACAATTAAGTAGGTTAGGTTAGTATAAAGGTTAGGTTATCATTTCAGATTAAAGAATTTAGTATTAGGTTAGGTTTGACACGTAACAAACAAGGACATTCCTTCTGCCGGCAACTCAACCCTACCTGGCTTGGGCTTGGTGCACCTAAGGAGCATTTTTTTGGACCCTTTGAGGTTTTGGTGCAATTAAGGAACTCTTTGGCGCAATTAATGCACGACTTTACCACGAGACCTATGGTAATGGCTTATTCCCGATAGGGAATACCCCTTAAAGTACCTAATAAACATAACGTTGATATTCGTAAGACGAATATGACTAAGATCGTCAGATCACTTTGGCAAGGCCTATTGTCCTTCACTTGTTTGTTGTGCGGAAAGCTCTCTTCTTAACCCATGACAGTCGGGAATCCCTTAGGACTATTCTTGGTGAAACGAAAGTAAGCAACATGATTCATGTTTGTATTGGTTGATTTCAACATGAAGAAACAGGATCTGCCAATATTTTTCATCATCCTATAAACTAAAACGAAGGATATAAAACGGAAAAGAATTTAAAAGTTACCAATAAACACCGAACGCACAGTGTATTAATTTTATGTTTTTGATTCTAGGCAAAGAAATAACCTGTTGCTGGAGGAACACATAAAATGTGAACCTGCAGTTCTTGAATGTTTCAATGGGGATGGGCAGATGATCAGACTGTGGCATGGAGGGAGCAAAGCCTCCAACCATGTGTATAGTCATTGAGTGCCTTTACTGCCTCATCTGGACAATTAGTTGGTCTGCAAATAACACAGTTGAGAGATGCCTTCAATTAATTACCGCTTTGATGTGGCTCTGACAAATAATTTGTTGATATCAAACCATTTTTATATGTAATCATATAATTATTCTCACTTTACGCTTGTGGTCTATATTTTTTTTATTTACTATGTTGACTGACCATAAAAGCCATGCTATATACATGTACAGTGAAAATAAACATTAAACTGTTATATATGGATTCATTCCATCCTAAATTGACTCCTATGATATTACGAGGTACATGACATATAATTGCTGGTTTGCTGAGGTTTTAGTGTTCGTCTGACAATAAAGATATCGCTGGTCCAATCCTGAGAAGAGTGGGTAGTTTTTTATGGTTCAATACTGTGCCTAGCTACAAAATTTAATCTAATCTCTTAATCTCTTTAAATCTTTAAAAATTATCCTAATTAAAACAGCTTATTTTAATTTGTATAAAACTTACAAAGATAATCTCTTTTTTACACTCATTGTGCATTAACCAAAAAATGCGCATAAATAAACATAATTGATTCACCACCGAACTGTGTGGTGTTCGCTGCCGCTAGCCAGAGTGTATCAGCTGCGCATGACTGCTCAGCGCGCATACGTGATGGTAATCGGGTGATTAGAACGCATGTGCATTACTCCTTGCTTATCTATCGGTGACGCGTGCGCAGGAGCATCCTTAGTCAAGGCGCAAGGACAAGTTGCGACAGAGCATCGCCACCGACACTCGCCTATCGAAATCCTCACTGAACACTATAGTAATTACAACATAGACTCAACCTTGCAAGTAATAATAGTTATCTGACAGAGAGGGCAACAGTTGCATTGATTACTGTGCAAACCTTAATTGAC